GTCTAATCGTCTTGACTTGTCATTCTTTATACTCGTATCTTAATTTGCGTCTTTTGCGAGTCTTTAAGTTCCAATTCGATTGTTGCATGCCAATCTCTATCGTCTCGAATGATTTGACTTGAATGCTTAACTTTCACTTTATTTTTCATTTCGAGTCCGATTTATAATCTTGATAGCTTTGAAAGCTTAATCACTCAAATTCAAATGTTAGTAAATAAAATGCCTTGTTTGTTATAATTAAAACATTAAGGTTATAATCAACCATAGGTCAACACTGCCCACCTCGGTGGTGGACACCCTGAACTTCTTTTTCGGCTCCTCGATAGCCACCTTTCCCCCCCATCAATAAGGGGTGGACGCCCTTCCTCTTGAGGGGCAGCTTTGTCCCTCACCTGCTTTCCTCCAGTAGATGAGAGCTTCATGCCTTTACGGCCGGCGGTAGAGGTGGCAACCAAAATGGTGGCCACGTCAGGAGTAGGGACCTTCCTCTTCTTGAAATCGCTTGCAGTCCAATGAGGCACAAGGTCAAACGAAAGCAGCAAAGACCGGTACAAATTATTAATTGGAAAAAGTCTTACCGCGTCGAGCCATCAAACCAAGATCTTCGTAAAATTGCTGGGGCACAACCAAACGGATGAAGTTACGTTCTGTGGAGGGTTGATGATAGATCTCGGATAAGATATCCCAGTTGCCCTTATCAATCTCGAAACGCTCAACCGACCCTACAAGAGATTGATCAAGAATCAGAAGCAAGTTCAATATAAGGCAATAAACAAAGTACAGAAAAGACACTCACTGAGTTCGGAGTAGGAGGTCGAAACTTTGACATCGGGGATAGTGTCACCTCGCACTTTTGCCACTTTTCCCTTACCCAGAACCAGGTCTCTTTCCATCCCTTGATAGAGGTGGAGAGACCCAACACGAAAGAAAAGTGTCCTCCTCATGGGCACAATGAATACCACCCCTTGGAATCCTCTTTGCCTAAGGACCTAGGCTGGTAGATCGTTTGAAAGACGTGGATGGGCATATCCTTACCCAAGGAAGTCTCATTCCAAAGGATATATGAACCCACTAGTTGGGCCCAGCCATTAGGGGCTAGTTGGGTGGGGGCTAACCCGTATAGTCGAAAATGACTCGAAAAAAGGGATGAAGGGGAAGGCCAGATTTCAAGAGGTACTCACTGATGGCGACGCAACCCTGCCTAGGGAGCTTATCATGAGAGGGAGATAGAAGTTCGATGTTATAGGGGATCCTATACTTATCTCTAAGGATGGCTAATTGGGTTGGGTCGACACTAGAACGGATTTTGGCTGCCCCCCAGCCCACATCGTCACCACCCCTGACAACGTCCCCAGATATAGAGGCACCTCGGCCTGCCTCAACAAATCTCCTAAGGTCGGCCGTACTGGTTATCTGGACTCCTAATTTCTTAGCCACCTTGGTCACATCTACATCGTCCCTAAAAGAAGCTATAAATGCAAAGAATACCAAAAAATTCGAGAAATCAATTACTTACTGGTCAAGGAACGATTCACAAGAGCACAACTGAAGGGAAAATAAGGATGCTCAAAGGAATTTCAAAAAGAAAAACTTGAAGGAGTTAGTAAACTTGAGAGAAAAGAATGCTAAGATTCGTGCAAAAGGTAGGAAATGAATTCTCTCTAAGATTCTTGCCTTTTATAGGCAAACCCGCTCAACCATGGCCGTTGGATCTCGATCCGAGCCATCCAACCATTGCTCAACAAGTATTAACCCGAGCCACCCATGACATCTGACGCTTCGTCTTCAAAGGCCCAGATTTGAACGTCGCTTGCACGCGCCCTTACGCATCTGAGTCTTGTCAAGAAGCATGGGGAAACAATCATCATTGCGCATTAAAAACGGCGGCTATTGAGTTTATTGGAAGTTGCAAAGCCCCATCTATCTTTCTTGGGAAGGCACCACGACATCAAATCATTGGGGCTCCATAATTTAAAATGCTTCGTATTTATCAGAATCATTGAGAATGTAATATACCCTCGTGGTTGTCAAAAATCAAGGCTATTTAAAGCATCAGATGTTATCCGCTTCAGGATGTACGAAAACACTTCAAAACAGAGGATGGAGCCTCGGTACCTAGGAACGTCGGAAAATCAATCAGACGAAGCTCTGAGAGAGCATATTATTATTTTGAAACTCTACCTCAAGATTACTTTCAAGTCCACGCATTACATAAATAATAATGCCTAGACTTGGGGGACTATTGTTACCCCTCGATTCCGAGGTCAAAAGAAGCAAAGCCACGTAGCCCGCCATGTGGGCACGACTATCAACGGAAAGTCAAAAGGAGGTCCAACAAGTCATGTGGTAACTGGCTGAGGTCCTTCATCCAGTATCCTAACCCCTCACACTGTAATAAGGTCCACCCTGAAACACCTCTGCAAAGACAAGGCACAATAACCAATCGTGGCCCTCTTAAGTTGTCTGAGGCTCTCCTGTCCGATGCTGCCCCATGTAATGGATTTGAAGATCTCTTAGGAATGATTGATGTGACATTTGTAATAAAGTGTGCCAGAATGTCAGTGTGTCGCCTAAAAATAGAACAGCCCGCCCTCTACAGAACATTGATTGCATAGATGGGATAGTGACGTGAAGCTTCGGCATGGAGGATGTTGCCACGTGGTTCTGATCCAAGGTCACCACGTCGGGAAAAACTTGTATAAATAGCTTCAATTTGTATAAACAAAGGGGGATGGATTGATAGAAAAACATACTTTTATACAAACACTTGAAATCTTACAAAAGAGAGAAAACACATCTACTTATCATATCTATCCTTCCACATATATCATGGCAAAAATGATGTATATTCGGGATTATCATCTTGTTTAAAGGCGATCATTGATAGCGTGATTGTCCTCGAATCATATCGCCGGAGCACGAACATTTTTGTCTTTCACCGTAAAGTGCCTCCCACGTTTATTTCAGCCAAACTACCGTTCTTATTC